AGTTACGGTAAGTAACGTAAGTTATTTCCTAGTATTAAAGTAGAAAATAGACTTAATACTATAGTCAAGTAAAGTAAGTAAAACGAAGTAGTGTATATATATATATATATATATATATATATATATTGAACATGTAAGAAATTTTCAGTAGTACAATAACAGGAAAAAACATTTCAGCTGAAATCTGATTATGGTAAGAAAAATTATATAGTGAAGAAATAGGCTGAGGCTGTGGTTAAGGAAGTTAAGGGCTTTAAAATTTGACCATGAAGAACCCACTTTGAGACCAATAAAGTTTTCATATGGCATGAATGGGTAATGAAGAAAACATTATTTACAAGTTTAGCATAATAACAATTGGGAGTTGGTAATACAGAAAACTGTGGATGTTTTGGTCATTATAATATCAAGCAAATGATAAAATCAACACAAACTGTCCTTCAATCATAATATTATATTAGAGCTTTCGAACAATACAACTTTTGTGCTCATTGGTTCTCCTCTTGCAGAGAAGTCATCATTTGAAAATGAGTTCTTTCCCTCCCTGTTTGTTTCATGATTATGGTGAAAGTTCATTGCCTCTTACAAAGTAATTTACCTATAGAATACCTGTTTTCAGTGCTAAAGTAGTCAGTATATACTGGGAGAAAGCCAATTCTCTAGTCTTTGTTGTAAGTGCAAGGTTAGACGGTGTGAAAAATTGGTTGAGTGGATTTTCTCTTGTTCAAAGTTGCCATCATGCCATTATTGTATCTGTATGATTGCCTCATGATTTTAAGTCAATTATCTTCAGAATTATTTCACTCCACTTACTTATAATTCAAGTTTGTGATAATTCACAGTATGGTACTTTCACATGTGTAAGCCTCCATACCACATTTTTTTTATTGAAGCAAGGTAAAGGGCCACATGCATGCCCATTTAAAGTAGTAACAGCATATTTAATTTCCACTAATTTTTGCTTCTAGCATATGATGTGATTTGATCAATATTTTGTATCATTTAGTGTCCTGAATTTTAAATGTTATTTTAGATGCTCCTGACAGTAGTCTGATGTTTTTTAGTGTTCTTGTTAACCATTCAGTTTTTACTCAAATCTCTGTTCTCCCTGACCTTAAGACTAGGTGTCCATATTGTATTGACTTTGTTTTTTTTAACGTACTCTAACCTGTAGGCACAACAACAGAACTAAGAAGTAACTTGTAAATTAATGAAGCTAGGTCTGTATAATAAACAATTACAGTACATGATCTAATAATTCATAAACTAAAACCTGTAATAATTAAATTGTGTTCACTCATCAGTTGCATACCTTTAGGTTGTCAACACAGTAATATCTCACAAGACTTTAGGTAACTTTAATGTAAAGTAATGCATACTGATTACACAGATATAAAAATACAAATAGTAATGTTAATACACTACAGTCTAAAGACAAGGAATTTTTTTATTTAAATTTCTTGAAAAAAATTAAATTATATATGTATATATAT